GAGGTGGTTTGTGAATAACTGCCTTTGCGCAAAACAGTAATGACTAGATACAAAGACCTTCATGTGGTGTATTTCATGGTTTTCGAGCAGCCCCAGCCTCTCAAAACATGTCAGGGCAGGCAGCTGATCCTGTCAATCTCAGGGTAAACACACTATTTAACTTACAGGTAAACCTTACAGATCTCAACTTTAAAAAGACCTTTGAAGTTAATCAGCTCACTTAAGAAAACATACATCCTCACTTGTGGTGGTCACAGGGTGGGGTGACGTTCATCTTTCTTAGCCCCTGTCGGACTAAGTGTTGAAGAACGTCTTGTGGTGTATGTGCACTTCCTTGTAAATGGCCACAATCAGAACTTAGTTGGACAGATAGAACAAAACGTACACAGCAGCTTAAAAGTTAAAGGATAGGGAAAGATGCGTGTCCTGCTTCGGTTTAACCAAAGACTCACCTGTTCAAGTTTGAAGATGTGCTGATTAAAGTAATGCTGGAGACGTTCGTTGGCAAAGTTGATGCAGAACTGTTCAAAGCTGTTGTTCTCGTAGTCTTCGAAACCGAATATGTCAAGGACTCCAATGGACAAGATCTGAAGAAGACACCAGCAGAAACAAATAAATGAAAAATAAAAACCGAATCTGTAATAAGAGTCATTATTGTTTTGAAAAACGACTACACTCATGCGCTTTTAATATTCTGTGTCATCTTACCTTGGTGGTTTCCATCAGGTCTTTGATGTTGAGCAGAGCGTGGTTGATCCTGAAGACAATCCAGTCAAACAGAGCACTGTACAGAGACTTGGCCATAGAGTCTCTCACTGTACCAGCCTAAAGGCAAACATACAGTATCACTGTAACATATCAGTCAACACCATTAAGAAGTGGAAAGCAGGAGCACCAGTTTCTATGTGCATGCACTCCTTAAAAAGAGATGCCAGTCAAGTTTTATTAAAAGTGAAGAAGAGGCGGTTTCTACTGGTAATTTGCATTAACTGTACTCATTTGATCCAAGTTGTTGGAGACCACGTTTCATATTTGTTCTCATGCAGTTTCGCCTCTTCTGTCTTCACAGCCATTACAGTATTCCTCAGTATTTCCCCCCAAACTCAGTGTGCCACACATCTGTTTTACACATTAGAGTTTGGCCTTGAATACCTCCCCTCTTAACACTGCACTTATTGTACAGGCCCAGGAGAATAAAATGAAAGAAGGTCTTTAAATACAGAAAATAAAGCTGATTTGTAATGGTCGAAATGTAAAATGGCCCTGTATGAACTGTGTTACCCGAATGTGAATCAGCATGTGGAGATGTGGTTGTATGTGGTTCTACTTTAAAAATCAACCACTTAATGCGTAAATCACATTCCTGCAGTCCTATCACACACACTTTTATTCTGAATTTTTGATGGAAAATATAAAACTGGATATCCTAAGATGGAAAAAGCAGATACCAAGGAGAGAAGAGACAGTGCTCCTATCCAAACACGTCTGACATCTCAACCAAAACATGTTGGTAGATTGCGCTGTGCAACAGCAGGGCGTCGCTGAGTCATTATAAATGTCACTAGAGAGGATTACACTCATCAGTTGCACTCTGATCTGTCAACTTGTGACAGATGGAGGTGCAGAAGTTCAGCTTTAAAGTCAAAGCCCAACAGAAATATCAGCTGTTATAAGCCAAGCATGGACTTGATATATTTTGACCTCACTGCTGGCAATACCAACATGATATTCAGGCAACAAGCATGAAATATTTGGATGAAAAACTAGTAATATTTTTATGTCACAGTTCCAATCACAATACTGGGGATTTAAAAGCTTGGATTGACTGACAAACAGAGTGATCAATTTTGTGTCTTCTTTCATAAAAGACAGGATTTTTTTGTGCAAAAGCTTCCTTGTCAAATTATGAAGAAAAACGTTTTAATTCCTGTATCTGCTGGAAAGATTTTACCTCACTGCAGCAAAGAAGAGCCGCAGACTTCACAAAGAAAACAACCCACTGAGTGACTACTTCAACGCAAGAATCACAGGTTTCTAAACAGTTAAGCAGGATATTTTTAACATCCTCAGACAAAATATGTCTTCTATGTGTCAGGAGAGCCTATTGGGATCCTTGTACATACTTGTACGTACCATAGTCTAATAACCCAGAAGCTTTTCATCATTTAGAGGAAGCAGGGTTTAAAACATTCACTTGTCTCATAAATCTGACCAAATGGAGAAAACTCAGTACAGAAACACTCAGACTTCTTTGAGGTTTTCAACTGTCTGACTTCAGTTAACAGGCAATGGGATTGTTGAGACTGTTAGAGCAATATTTACTCAAAGACCACCCAGTGTGCTACCACAACAATCACTGTTTGTTCATATAAAATGACTCCTAAATATCCAGCGGGCCATTATGAGGTTGTTGCTGTTTTGGTGGGAATGTACAGCACAACACAGCACAGCACCGTCTTTTTGGAGAGTCTGTGGTAAAATACTGCTGAGACTGCTGCAGAAAATCTGTGCTGTAAAAAACAAAACAAAACAAAAAATCATTTAACTCAAGTCACAGCCTGTGTGTGCGAGATCTGACATCAGCAAAGTATGAAATACTGAAAGCATCGTGATCATTTTTAAAGTCTATGTGCATTACAGCATATGTAAACAAAAAATAATAAATGTATCGGGGGCTCTTTACACCCTGTATTCGTGTTGCTCCCTCGTCTCTTTCAGATGGCTCGCATCTGCAGACCATGATGTGTTTGTTTTCAGAGAGGAGGTCCCATGAAAACTCTAGAGGGACTTGAAATGCTTTCCCTTCCCTCTAAACAGACTGAAGGACTTTGTGCATGTGGGTTTGTGTAAGTGCGCACTGCTGTGACTCAGAGCCCTCACTTGACGCCACTAAACGAAGAAGCTGCGGAGAATCAAGAGTGAGCAGGAGGAGATCCGGTACTGGTGCGTGCTTTTCTGTAAACACAGCCAGGTCACACTGAAGAGCCACGGCTGCAGTGCCATTGTGTTCGGCCCGGATGTGAAAACACTCCAAAAACTACTTATACCTATGCGCCTTCAAATCTGGCATCATACTGCGTACATTGGTACGAATGCCAGTAAAAGCCAATCAAAACACACTGTAAATATTAATTGCCTACTAATTCACAACACATCAGTCATGAGCCTGTGTTTACTTTCGCTCTGTGCTTCACACAAAGAATTTCAGACATGCAGCAACTGATCTCAACGATCGCTTGAAAAATGACCTAAAGTTCCATTCTGTTCCTGTCTCCGACTTCCTGCTCTCTACTATTTGACGTGGCTTCCATTAAAAATAGACTCTGTGCATATTTTTAGTAAGGCGCAGACCCGCTGAAATGCGCCGGTAGAATCACAAGAATTGTGGCCGCAATCAACTCTGGAATGCAACGCGGCTGCCCACTGCGCGATTCGGGCCTTCATTTGCCATCAGCATTAGCCCACCTACCTAAAGCAAGACAGCTCACACATCTGGATATGTTCAAAAGAGCCCATGTCACGAAGACAAAGGAACAGGCAGAAATCTGTGATGTGCAACAACCGAACGGGCTTCAAGTTGGCAGAAACATCTGCATTCCTGCTGCTCAGAGTAGGTAGATGTTATTGTGGATGACTTATTAAGATTTTGTCGTACATTTTGATTTCCAGCTTTATTTATTTACTGTTTGAGAAGCCGAAAAGCAGCTCCAGTCTCACCTCAGCCAGCTTGTAGGGAACGATCAGCTTCTCTCCCACAGTAACCGTCTTCCGCGTTGTCAGGGCTTCAAACAGCATCTCTTCTTTTACCTAGAGATGATGGTGAGACACAAGTGTTCACTCATTCAAAAGAAAGCTGAAACCCTTTTCAAGCTGCCCTTCACACCTGATTACGTTTAAAGTAACCGAAAATGTGCTTTTGTGTGTGTCTGTATGTGTATTAATATCTTTGTGGGGACCAAAAATTGGAAGTTTACCATACTTGTGGGGACCAACAACCCTTATGGGACCCAAAATCCCAGTCCCCACAAGTCTGAAGGCATTTTTCAGACTCAAAATGTGGTTTTAGTGTCAGGGTTACAATTAGGTTATGGTTAGGTTTAGGTTTAGGCATTCAATTTTGATGGTTAGGGTTAGGGTAAGCAGATAGGGAAAGCATTATGTCAATGAGATGTCCCCACAGAGATATGAATATACGGTTGTGTGTGTGTCTTTATCCTGGCTTGAACAAATAGGAAGTGTATTTAGCAGTTTAAAATCATCCGCCTTTCACAATCTGCATGTAATATGTAGAAATATATTTAGCATTGCCATCTACCTGCAGCAGTTCTGACACAACAGGTAGCACCTCTGGGTTAACAATGTCTATCTGGTCGTCCCTGTAAGGTTTCTTCTTGTAGCGGATGTTACCCAGGTGAAG